AGTTTGGGGATTCATTCATTGTTTGTTAAACATCTTCTTTTGATATCATGCATATATTACGATTGGGATATTTCATTTTCCTAGCTGCTGTAGATTGGCTACATTTGAAATCTGTCAGATCAGCTCCTGATTGAGTTAGATTTGCACCTGTAACTTTATGCAAAACACTTGGAGAAACATCACTGATTGTAGCCATAAGAGCTACATTACCAGCAAAAATGTCTTTGGGAATTTCAGCAGTGACTTTTTGTTGAAAAGAGTTTCTTTCAAACCACTCTCCAGGATTAAAATTCATTAAGATTCATGCGAGGAGTCCTCACTAGTATCTGTATCTATCTTAACATTAGTTGTACCCTTTAATTCTTTATATTGTTGTTTCACACTGTGCTTTCACTTTCTGCTACTCACTGTTGCCTAAAAATGTCAAAAAAATTTAATAAATAATAGTTTAATTTAGTTATATGAGAAATTAAAATGGTGAGTAAACATTGTTATTTTTGTTTAGCTGTTTTTATTTTAAACCTTTTAAAGTGGCTTGCAAATTGTAAGTAAGTTGCTTAGAAAGCCCTGCAAACTTTTTTTGGTTTTAAACTTTTTTTGGTTTCTGTACTTTTTATCTTCTGATCCAAGCATAAATCTTTTTTCCCTTTTTTGGTCCTCCAGAAACTTAAGCTTGTCTGAATCAAATCTTTTTTTGTTGTTTTTAATTGTATTTCTAAGATCAGGAATGCCAGCCCAAAATACTTTGTTCAGGTAAACTTTAAATTCTTGTTGCTGTGCCAAATCTACAGCGGATCCCCTTTTTTTCATGCTTCTTAAGTTTTGAATATATATTGTCCAGATTTGAAAGATTTTTTACTAGACTTTATTCGTTTAGAATAGAAAATCCAGCTTTAATCCATGGCTCTTTTACCTTGGCCAAAATACATTCAAACTTACCTTCTATTGCACATCTTTGCACATCAACTTTTTTTGGGGAGGACAAGCAAGAGTGGTGGCTTTTTTTGATGTTCTTGGTAAAAATTATTGTTTGTAAGCCAAGTGCTGCAGTATCCCCATCCCTGTTGGAAGCTGACAGCCTTTACAAAAACTAATAAATAAAAAGTTTAGCTAAAGTTTTTAGCTTAAGGGATTCATTATAAAACTAATTATTACCTTTTATTGCTGGTTTTGCTTCTTCGATAATGAATAGTTTTCTTTAGACCTTAGTGTTCTTTCACTTTCTTTTTTCTGATCACGTTCTTCTTCTTCATACATATTGAAATTAATTTAATTTTTACTAATCAAAAAAATCGAATTTAAAATAATGATTGTAAAACGATTTACTACTGCAAGAAATAGAACCATTGAATTGTTCTTTCAGCTACTATAACTGGATCTTGTCAAATTCCCACCTCATAAAAATTACTAAATTTTATTGTAGATTTACATTATTAATTAAAAAAATAATTAGTAGATATTCTTGACAATTAGTAATAATCTTTTTTTAGTGACATAAATGTGGTAAGTATATAATCAAATATTGTAATTTTTAATTACAATATATGATTATATAAGGGTAAGGATTGAGCAGTCCTGTTGAGCTCAAATTATTTAGGAGTTTTTTTTTAATATTTGCCCCAAATTGACTACCCCTAATATATAATAATTTATATATATACATATATATATATATATATATATATATATATATATATATATATATATATATATATATATATATATATATATATATATATATATATATATATATATATATATATATATATGTATATATGTATATATATATATATATATATATATATATATATATATATATATATATATGTATATATATATATATATATATGTATATATATATATATATATATATATATATATATATATATATATATATATGTATATATATATATATATATATATATATATATATATATATATATATATATATATATATATATATATATGTATATATGCATACATATATATATATATATATATACATATATGTATATATACATATATATATATATGTATGTATATATATATATATACATATATGTATATATATACATATATATATATGTGTATATATATGTATATATATATATATATATATATATATATATATATATATATATACATATATGTATATATACATATATATATGGATAAAAACACTTACAAATAAAATAATTGTCACAAGCTAAGAACAAATTACAAGTTAAAGCTAAGAACAAATACCAGTTTATTAAAATAAATGGAAAACAGTTTCAAGTTTTTATATTTGAATAATATATTTAATATTTAGTTGGTCCTTCTTTTGTTTTAATTATATTTAACCAAGCGTTTTGGCATTGATTCAACTAGACATTTGATTATTGTTCATGTTAGACCATTAT